ACATAGTTAATAGCGTTTTTGAGGAACTTGAGAAGGATAGCTAGCTTGCAGTGGATTTGAAATAAAGCGTGATTTTCAACAACAGGCCGCGATATTTAAAGAAATGAAGGTTAGAGCTTAATCCTTCATACACCAGCAGTTAGAAAGTAATGGCAGTTCAAATGCACCTGAGGCCTAAGTTTGGGCTTAGTAAAGAGTAAGAATAGAGATTTTATGCACTGCTATAGCACTAGATATAGAAAGTTATAGTAAAGAACCACATGCTTCAAATGAAATGAGACTTAGGCTTAGGCTTAAGCCTAGGTATGGATTGAGGGTAGCTAGGGTTAATGTTTAGAGGAATATGGGAATTGTGGAAATGATAAATTTACATTGAATGAGTAGAGTGTAGGAAATTGATTTATTTTAGTAATGAATTAAATAGATGTTGAGGCTAGACAAGATGCATTATACACAGCAGTTGTTTCGGCCCTTTATCCGGACGACTGCTTACCCTAAGAGGTATGAATGTAGAGCCATCAGAGGACCTCATCAGCGGATGCAGATGGTTACACTCATATCCCGAGAAGATTTAGAGGTGAGATCTTAACTCAGTATTAGTAGTATATATTGGGTTAATAAAATTTAAAGAATTATTGAGAATAAGGTAAGAAGTTAGTAGTCGTATGGTGAAGACGTATGTAAATAGTAATGTCACTAACCTGAGACGTTTTTATCGTGACGTTGAGTATATGGCGTAAAGTTAGGCTTAGGATTAGGGTCAGGCCTTGCTGTTCAGACGTAAGTTAAGGCCAAGGTACAGTAAATTTTATGAAAAAATTCTGTTCCGACCCTCCCGATGAGCTCCTGATTGACAATTGACGCAGAAAGTACATTTGTGTAGATTTTTATTGAACAAGGCCTTCGTCAGCCTTGTGCGCAATCCTAACCCTCAGCCTAGGTCTAAGCCTAAGCTGAAACCTAGGCCTCACATGCATTTGAATTGCCATTACTTTTTAACTGCTGGTGTATTAAGGATAAAGCTCTAAGCCACTCTCTAGTATCAACTTCGCAGTCTGTAGTCTTATTCTTAAAGCTTGTTTTTTTTTTTTTTT